TTTTTCAGAAAGATCTAACTCAAATCAAAAAGTTTTTCAATGTCAAAATGTTTAATCAAAAATTGATTCATCCTATGATTACTCTTATGTTACAAAACACAAAGTTGATTTTGTACCTCAAAAGCCAAATTTTCCTAATTACACAAAGAAAGAAACTATAAGGACATCTCGGGAAAAAGGAACGACTTCAAGAAAGAACATTGATCATTGGTTTGAAGGAAAAGGAAAAATGTATCAGTCGAATACATATTCAAAAGAGCAAATTCATGAAGCATACAAAAAATATTTTAATACTTCTTCCAATAGTAGCTCATCATCTAAGGATTCGAATATCTCAGTCAAAGCTTGGAGACCAGTCACAAAAGCAAAGCCAGTTCAGTCACAAACTCAAAAAGCGAAGGGTAATGTCAGAGAACATTCGAAACTATCAAACACTTATGTTTCAGTTGCTTTAAATGATGAAGTAAACTTAGTTGATAGTCTCAAAACCAAAGTTTATGATTGGGTTAAAAGTTCTTCATTTCATTCGAAATTGAAATCTAATTTCCAACGACCCAAAAAGCCTTGGGTACCTAAATTTTTTCATTAATTGCAGGTATTATGTGACGAGCAATATGATAACAAGTGGTACATTGATAGTGGTTGCTCTTGTCACATGACTGGGAAGAAGGAGAATTTAAGAGATTTTCGAAGTCTCAAAAATGCTAGAGTAGTAAAGTTTGGGAACAATTAGAAGTGTCAAGTCAAGGGATATGGGAAAATCACAAATGGACAAATCACAGTGAATTGTGTTGCATATGTTGAAGGTCTTCAACATAACTTGATTAGTGTTTCTCAACTTGTGGTGGACACTGACAATCAAGTTCTCTTTAACTTGATTAGTGTTTCTTAACGAAGAAGGAAGTGTTATTTCGAATGTTAAAACAAAAGAAATAATATTGAAATCTAAAAGAAAAGGTGACATGTTCACTCTGGACATCAATCCAATTGTAGGCAAACCAGCAGTATGTCTTCTTTCGAAAGCTACATCTGATTTAAGCTGGTTATGGCATCGAAGACTTTCACATCTCAACTTTCGAAACATCAATAAACTTGTGGTACAAGATCTAGTAAGAGGTTTACCTATACTTAAATTTGACAATGATTCTTTTTGTGCATCTTGTGAAGTTGGCACGCAATATAAACAAGATCATTCAATCACAATTGATTCGAAAATTATTGCACCTCTAGAGTTGTTACATATTGATTTGTGTGGTCCTTCGAATGTTTCAACTCTCAACAATAAACGGTACATTTTAGTTATTGTTGATGATTTTTTTCATATTTACGTGGGTTTATTTTCTCAGGCTCAAATCTGAAGTTGCACAAATCATGATTGACTTCATCAAAAAGATGGAATTATCCAGCCAACTGAACGAACTGCTCAACAAGGTATTTATTAGACCAAGTTCCTCACCCTGGGGAGCACCGGTCTACTAGAAAAGGGATTTTCATTAATCAAGAATAATATACGAAAAATCTACTAGAAAAGTTTGGATTGACGAATAGCACAAAGCTTCGTGTACCAGTGGCAACGGGTATAAAGCTAACACCATCGTTAGACAAACCTGGTGTTGATATAACGTTTTATACGATCATGATTGGTTCATTACTTTATCTTACGGCAAGTAGACCTGATATCATGTTTTCTGTGTGTAGTTGTGCAAGGTATCAGTCTAATCCATGCGAACTACATCTAACTGTTGTGAAGAATATTTTTTGTTATCTTAAAGGAACAATTTCGTTAGGATTGTGGTATCCTTCGAAAATTGGATTCTTCGTTCAAGCATACTCAGATGCAAACTTGGGTGGCTGCAATCTTGATCGAAAAAGCACAAGTGGAGGATGTCAATTTCTTGATGGCAAATTAGTCAGTTGGCAGTCGAAAAAGCAAACATATGTGTCAATTTCCACAGCTGAAGCAGAATATGTGGTTGCTGCTACTTGCACTTCACAAACAATATGGATCCAAAGTCAATTACATGATTATGCAATTAATATGAAAAATATTCCATTATATTGTGATTTTCAAAGTGCAATAAGAATTTGTCATAATCCTGTGCAGCATTCGAAGACTAAGCACATAGCTCTTCGTTATCATTTTATTAAAGATCACGTGGAGGATGGGAACATTGGAGTATATTTCGTGAAAACAACTGATCAGTTAGCTGATATTTTCACGAAACCTTTGGATGAAAAGTCATTTGTGAGAATAATAGAAGGGTTTGGAATGATCAATGGAAATTTTGTTCCATGCGAAAAAGAAGAATGATGGGTGACAAAGAATGAATAAGAGGGTTGTATAAAACATAAAGCAAAGTCATTCGGTATTCAGTGGTTACTGTTCATGGTCAACGCTTCGACCGCTTTGAATTCGCATGTTTGATACTTATTTGTAGTGTTGAGATAGTGGTTATTGTTCATGGTCAATCCTTCGAACGCTTCAAATTCGTATATTTGTTACTCTTAATGGAATGTCAAACATTTGTTTGTTTGCAACAAATTCAGTCTCCTTGTCAATTTTTTGAAAAACTCAAAAAAAATCCAAAAATATTTTCTTTTGTTTTTTTTTTAATTTTCGAAAAATCAAAAATCCAAAAAGATTTTCTTTTGTTTTGTTTTTTAAATTTTCGAAAAATCAAAAATCCAAAAAGATTTTATTTTTTTTATGTCTTTATTTTCGAAAAATTCGAAAACAACAAAAATATTTTTACTTCTTTTAGAATTTTATTGCAGATTATGATGATGATTCAAAGGGGACAACGCAAGCAGTATAAGGGTCAGGTAAAAACTTTTTTCGTATGAATCGATTTGTTTCTCATTATTCAAACTAATTAGGATGTCCCTGGAAGCATGCTGTTGCATGTTGTCCAAAGCCTCCATGACTCAATGTGTCTGTACGAAAGCCTTAATGAAATTTTCATACGAAAATTTCTTCCCAATCAGGCTTATATTCACATTAGTCTATGAGCTACCTTACTCTTCTCAAACTGAGTAAAGAGTTTTCATTTTGGTCCAAAACAAAACAGAGGTACTTTTCGTGTCTTATACCAATCTTTTTCATCCATAATATTCTTACACGATCACACACAAAGACGTATGTCGGAGAGGTCTCTGATCAAACCCATCGAGACTTAGATATATAACAACTTTGTATTTATGATTTGACATCATGAGTTTGTGATGAAAGTGAAACCCAATCATCTTGAAAATTAAGGAATTAACGGGGAACATTGTTCCAGATATATACGAAACTTTTGTTTTTGTACCAAGGTTCGAAACTCCAAATCATATTCATTTCGAATGAGTGGTCTTGATCAAACATTCGAAACCCATGATGTTTGTTACCCAACAAGATCCAGTACACAATTTTTTTATGAATATGATTTCAGTGTGAGTTTCATTCAAATGTCCTAGTTATGTTAAAAAATTTCAAATCCAACTTGTCACTGACTACACTGGTCAAACAAGTAATTTCTGTTACACTTAATCACCTTATGTTTAGGTTGACATGTAACGAAATTTTGAACCTACCCATGAAGCATTCTCAAAAGAAGCTCTTTCATACTTATTAAAAAGTATTCGATTGTACTTCATAGGAACATACACAAGTTGTTGATCATCTTTCTTGATGATTAACGAAGCAACCTTTGCCTGGGGTTTAACTGCCTTCGTGTCAAATTGCATTTTTGACATCACCACATTCTAAAAAAAATTATAATTGTTTCTTGTCTAACTTTCTTTGGAACACTGCACACACGAAATCCTTGAGATTCTGAGTAATGCCAACTCAGGCTAATGATTTCGAATATCTGGCATATGACTTCGCTTTTAATCCCCAAAGTGAAAGAGCCTTGCTTCCATTCGAAGGGTTCTGGCGGTTACAATTCTCTTGAGGGGATAATGATAGGTTGTTTATCCATGATGTATGGTATTCTGTTCGGTTTTCTAGGTAAAGTGACAGCTACTTTTTGACGCATGGCTATATTTCTGCAGTAATGGTCTGATTTTCAAGGTGCCACGTTGGATATCATTATATGCATCCCGCTTCAAATTCAAATCATTCAGGGTTACTTATAAAAGGGGGTTCAAGAGTACTTTCTACGTTTACGCGATCAAACTCAAAATTTTCCAAATACTTTGTTCTTCATCTTATTCAAACCCTAACAATGGCAACTGCTACTCCTGTTGATCCTTCAACTAAAGATATTTCCTCTGCTCCGGTTATGAAGATTCAATCTACCAATTATTATGTCTATGGTGAAATTTCTCAATGTCCAGAGGAACTCAAGCTGCTTATTGTTGCTTTAAAACACTCTGTTTTATCCAAAGCAATGTTCAATTCCTTTTCTGTTCTGATATCCTAGCTTTCTCAAGCAGGATCTACTGCCACATATAACAAAGCCTCTGATTCGATTACTTTCCACTTGATCAATGACAAAAAGGTTAGGCTTTCCAAGAAACTATTTTGCCAGATTCTTGATATTCCGAATACCCCTCCTTTTGTTGAATTTCAATTTCCCCAAATTATTCATATGTTTAATGAAATGGGATATCAGCCCCCGTTGTCAAAAATAAGTGATTTTAAGAAGTCTGAACTTCCAAAAGTATGGAATTTCTTGTTCGGGATCTTTTTGTGTTGTTTAACCGGAAGAACAGTTGGGTTAGACAAAGGAAGGATGGAGGTTTACACCATGGTGGCAGGTTTATACTATGATCTTCCAGTAGATTAATCTACACAATTATGGAAGGAATTCCAAAAAGGTGTAGAACATACAGATACTGTTCATGGCATTTTGTGTGCTCGGTACTGGAGCCTTATTTTGTCACATTTTTACAATAAGGAAGGCATCTTGGTTACAAATGAAGAAGAGAAGGTTACTTTTCAATATTATCACTTTCCGAAGGAGGTTGTTGACGATGTCGATGAATTTCCACACATTGCTCAGATTCCAGATGCGATGCTTAAAAGGGTGGATCCTAAGAATCCTGTTTTGATTGCCTACCTGAAAACAATCGATTCATCAATTCCAACGGGAATTTTGTTGCCACGGGAAGAAAAGAAATCGAATAAGTCAAAGAAGGTTGCTCCTGCTTCATCTGAACAAAAGAAAAAGGGTTTGAAATCCTCTAAGTCTCCAAAGCAGCAGAATGAAAAAGTTGAAGTGACAGTTGATGGAACAAATGTGATTGAGCCAATTGTGGAAGAGACTCAAGAGAATGTTATTATTCCTTCGAAAACTGGGATGCTTCGAAGAATCAAGATGAAATCTACTCACAAAAGAAAGTCATCATCACAGAAGCTGGTTCGCAAACCTCAAATTATTCACCAAGGAGTTTTAATTCGTGATGTACATGTACCTGTTTCTCCCGGGTCCAAGAAACGAATAGCAGAAGATATGGAAAAACACTTGTCACAACCGAAGAAGAAAAAGACAAAGAAGACTCGGAAGCTTGTTTTATCTACTAAGTCTACAAAAGAATATGAACGAATACCAGAAACTCTAGAGCTCACTCCTATCATTACAAGTTCCATTCCTGAGAAGACTGTTATCATACCACCCGAAGTTTCGATTGCCGAGTCAATTTTTGAGGAGGTTCGAACTTCAGGCATCCCTGCATACGTATCTGATACGGATGCAAATGTCAACATGGGTGAAGGAGGTTCGAAAGATGCAGATCAAGGTCTAATTATCTTTACACCAACATCTACTATTCCTCTCACATCAACCACTGTTTTGCCAACCTTCGAACATATCATCAATCAACCATTCACTTCCATTTTGCCTTCTCAATCCACTGATACACCCAAACCATCTTCACCAACTGACACTGATAATGAAGGGTTTGATGGTATGTTCGAAAATCTGGAATTCAATGAAGATGAAGAAGAATTTACTGATCACATGTTAATGACAATGAAGCAATACAAAATTCTTAATCAAAAGCTGAACTCCATCATTCAATCCCAAGCTGATCTTGGAGGAAGTTCATCTATTTCCAGTTTGGAGGTTGATTCCATATTCAAGATGTTCAAATTAAGAGTAATCAGCAAAGTTTCTGGAATGTTGAAAGCCTCAGAGTCTACTATTTTAGAGAAGGTTGATTACACAGATCAGAATTCTGAGCTTCGTGTTAAAACTCTCAGGTTTGATTTTATAGGAGAAGTTAAGAATCTGAAAAGCACAACAAAAGAATGTCATGTTCTTTTTGTTCAGGAGGTGAAGAAGGTGAAGGAGGACGTTAACTCACAAATTCACGAACTTCATGAAGATATGAAAAGGAAATTCTTTCTGTTCAACATGATTATGCATACTTGCATCAGAAGGTCGATATCATTTGTGATGTTGTAACTCGTTTTGTTAAGCTATATGAAGATTTGAGTCCTCAAATAAATCAACTCTCAAAATCCGAAAGTGAAAATTTTGAAGGTGTGATGAAGTTGCTAAAGGAATTGAAGGAGATCTCAACGAAAACGGTTTCATCCCCGTTGATTACTCCAGAATTTTTATCTTAGAAGTTTGTGCAGTTTGAATCCATACTTAACAAGCAACTTGCTCCACTATTTCGCATATCCGGTCTTCTTCCCTCAACTACTGCCCCTCCTGTTTTCACAGGGGTGCAAGGGGGAGAAAGGAAGTCAGCAGAAGAAGAAGTGAAAGTGGTGGGCAAGGTATTCTCTTCAAACATCCCTTCAGCCAAACCAGTGATAGTGGCTGCTGAACCAGTGACTTTAACAATCGTAACAACATTGCCAATTACAAGAACAATTTCGAAAGGAATTGTAATTGGTAAACTTTTGGAATCTGGAGGAAGTGGTTCGAAGCCACAAGAGGTAACTACAGACAAAGGCAAATCAATTCTTGTGGAAAAATCTAAAGAAGAAAATAAGGCTTAGGCTGAAGCTGCGATTGAAAAGTTTAGAATCGTTCAAAGTATAATGGCTCAGAGGGCTAATGATCTGAAGGGGATGGTTAAAGGTGATCCGGCAAAACACTATAACTATGAAACAATCGAAGCCAAGGTTGCTTTCAACCACATGTATACATTCGAAAAGAAGCCTAAGCAAAGTTATGTTATCACAAATTCTGATGTTTGCTAGTTTGATTCCCCTATAAACGAGATGATGTTTATCATGCCTCAATTCAAAGTTGAAGGGAATTTCAAAGATAAAGATGAAGGGACTCATATGAAAATTCGTTTTCATGCAATACTTGGCAAAGCTCCTGAGGATGTTTGGTCACTGATCAAGATTAAGAAGGTGATAAGCATGAAAAAGGATGTGGTTTTTGAAAACACAATCCAAAATATCAAGTATGTGGTTTCTAGGGTGAATGGAAAAACATGCGAATTCACGATTGCAGATTTTCCTCTGATGAACTTGTATGACCTTATGCCAGTTGCATTGCTTTTGAAAGGCAAATCTTTTTCTTTTCTTCAAAACACAGATCCAAAGGAATTAAAACTTGGAGTTTCTCACATCAAGATCTTCATTGAGAATTACTATGAGTGTCTAGCTCTAACTGATGTGGAGTTGGCAACTACCAAGGGAATGGAGATAAATGCTCCAATGGCTCCTTCAAAGACACAGGCTGAGTTAAAGAAATATGTTGATGGATAAATTTGTCTTAAGCCATTTGAAATAGTTTTTACTGGAAAGGATAAAGCTGGAAAAGCGAAGCAGTTGTTATTCTAAGCCATTGAAGTGGAGAGATATTCTACATCTCAATATACGAACTTGATTGTTCGTATGAACCACTGCAAGAAGAACAATGAAGGAGACAAGAAGGAGTTGAAGAAAATTATTTCTTGGTATACTGAGGTTCGAAGAGTTTTGCTATACTCCATTACACTTCTCACAAACTGAAGACTTCGACTTTGATTACAAAGGGGTAGATTGTTAGAGTCAAAATGCTATAATGAGTCGAAATTTGTCTTTAGTATCTTCAAACATTTTTGTAATGTATTTTACTAGGGTATAATATTCGAAGCATCATGTTTAGTCCTTAGTATATTTTTTTTACGCTTTCATCTCCTATAAATAGGAGTAATTACTAGTGTCTTAGTAACGAAGTCTTTACAAAACTTTCACTTGTACTCTGTAAAACTGATAAAGCGTAATAAAGCCAAACAGATCATATTTACATCGATGTTCAAATCTTTCAATCTTACTTTGAATTTACATTCTAATTCAATCAACACTTGATTCTTTGTCTCATCACCTTATATAGGCCCCAACCCTAAAAAGTTAAATTTTCTCTACCCAGAACCTACTCGACGAGACAGTTCTCTAACTCGTCGAGTCCACTCATTAATTCCATGCAAACAACTCGACTCAAATCGGCGAGTTGGACCCTCAACTTGTCGAGTCTCTCCATAAATCTCAAGATTAAAATACACAATAATGTACCTAATAATCTGGATGTTAAAAAACAACTCTAGAATCGATCCCCAGACAGCAGTACTCACCTAAACAACACTAATCTGTCGAATCTGATCATCAGTCAATCCTGGCCTATCCCGGCCACCCACTCTAGATCTAGAACTTGATCCCCTTGTGGACACCATACTGAAAATAAACCAGAATATATTAGAATTTCACCAATTCTTACCATAAAAACCATTCCAAATAAATGAAACCATTCCAGATAAATGAAGCCCTTAGGGTTTATGACTTCCTTCTACGTGTATGAGTCATGTGCTTTCAGTAGTATGTGCCTATACTACGTGCCACACCTATCTGTATTTGTCTCAAAGATCATCATAACTACCCAAATAGATACATCATCTAGGATACACATACATCCTATCCTCACTCACTAAAGAGTAGCTAATCATGCCTCACCTGACCGAATGCTCACACAACTACTCACACATTATACTTTCACCAACCGTGCAGCCACTCGTGCATGCTAATCATACATAACACTAGATCCTATATACAGTTGAATACTTGATCCTACCTTAAGCCCTTAATCAGACTAGAACATGAAATAAGGCTAAATCAAACATTCTCAGGCTATAAAATTTATGTATTTACAACTATGATGCACACATTAAGCAACTACAGTAATAATGTCTATCTCATAAAAGAAGCACTCCTAGGCTACCAGGCATCATACATCAGGAAATTCTATTATGCAATTCCTTAATATCCTAGCTTACCACTAGCATGTTGTTCTACCATAAACATTATATCAAATAACAGTGTGGGTAACTTGGGATATACTTTCTTGCTCCGACTGATCGTACACATTGCATCCTTCCATGGTTACTTTTGAAATTATTTTTTTGGAAAACCATTTTAAAACTATTACAGACCCATAGTTTGAGTGTAGATTCACACGAATGTTCATCTAATTCTCTCAAACCAAAGCTTTGATACCAACTTGTGACATCTAAAAAATCATAGAAATTTGAATTTTTCAAAAACAACTCATTAACCATAATTTGTTTACAAAAAGATCATTGTTTCAAAAGTATAACCATAATCAGAATATCCTAAGATCCAATGTAATGAAAATAGGAAGATGTGCGTGATCACACCTTCGATTTTCCATGATCATATGAAGTACCTGAAACAATAAACTAAAAAGTAAGCGAAAGCTTAGTGAGTTCCCCCAAACTACTATCACACAACATAACAAACAATAGCATTCAAATATGTACCTTCAGCTTGATTGCACCGCTTCGCATGGCCTACATCCTATCTGGACCACTCTTTGGGCCTTCGGCCTACCTGGACCGCGTCGCATGGACTAAAGCCTATCTGGACTGCCTCGGGTGTCTTAGCCTTCAACACAAAGCAGGACCGCCTCAACCCAACCATAATATCTCGACATACACAACATATAAACATAAATACATATCCAGCAAAGACACATAATCATACATATCTACTAATCTAGCATATAACTAGCATAACATCATCCTATATACAAGGATCCATAAACTAGTGGGTCGATATTGGTGCCTTCGACCTACAAGTACAGTGAGAAAAACTCACCTCTCGGTCCGAACAATAGCTGAATAAATCTCTACTCCGAATATCAGCTCTACCCGTCACCTATTAATTAGATCATGGCCAAAGTTAACATATAATCCAAATACCCAAAATACCCTTTGTTCAAAATTGGTCAAATTCAAAAGTCAACAAAATCAACCTAGTTAACCTAGTTGAGTATACTGGTCATACTCAGCTGTACACGGGGAGTACTCAGCTTGACCAAGAAATTGAGGCATTGACCGCGTACGCGCAATGTACCATTTGGTAAGCCCATCGTACGCACATTCAAACATGAGTTTTAAGCAACTTTTGTTGAGAATTCATGTCGAAGAAGATAACATATTGAAGGACAAGGTAGATGCAAATTCCTTGGAACCAAGTGTAAACTTTTTTGGAGAAGCAAGTACTTCTAGGACAAGGCACAATAACAAGAAATTGAAGCTAGACTCCAAAAACTCTTCCAAAGACGGAAAAAATCATGGCCCAAACATGAAGATTTTCTAGAAGAATTTTGGTCCATGCTATGTTTGTGGCAAAACTGGACACAAGGCCAAAGATTGCAGATTCATGAGGAAATTCTAGTCAAACCAATGTTTATGGCAAAATAATGGAAACAATGGTGGTAATTCTGGTGGAGGAAATTCTAGTCAAACCAACTTGGTTGAATCACCAAATCAATTTGTTGATGTGATTCAAACCAACATGGTTATCAATTGTGTGGATTAGTGGATTGATACTGGAGCCACAATGCACATTTGCCATTCCCGAACCATGTTTTCTACATATCAAAAAGTCTCGGATTTTCAACCAATTTTTATGGGGAATGGATCGACTGCAAAAGTTGAAGGAAAGGGAAAAATGAAGCTACAACTGACTTCTAAAAAAGAACTTGTTTTACGTGATGTCTTGTATGCTCCTGAAATTACTAAGAATCTGATTTTTGATCCTATTCTTAGTAACAAGGGATTCAAACTTGTATTTGAGTCTAATAATTTTGTTCTCACCAATGGTGGGATGTATGTTGGAAATGGATACCTTAGTGGGGGTCTCTTCAAAGTTAGTGTCTTATCTTTGTACTATGATGGTCAAACACCAAACAATGATGTAACCAATGCTGATGTTAATGCAATAATGGGCAATACTAGCCCCCTTTTTTATGTATATCCATGATACTTAAATTTTGTGGCATTCTCATTTGGTACATGTCAGTTTTCGTTTTATTCAAAGAATGGTAAAACTTGGCATGTTACCAATATGTTCATTAGATAAAAACATAAAATGTGAGGTTGTTGTAGAATCAAAATTTTCACAGCATCCTCATAAATCAGTTGAAAAATCTAATGAAATACTTGGCTTAATCCACTCTAATTTATTTGATTCTAGACTAATACCTACAAGAGGAGGAAAGAATTATTATATTTCTTTTATTGACGATTGGAACAAGTAGTGTTATATTTATTTGTTAAATACCAAAGATGAAGCCTTGAATTTTTTTTAAGAATTATACGGCTGAATTTGAAAATCAACTTGACAAAAATATCAAAATTCTAAGGACTGATAGAGGAGGAGATTATGAATTCAAAGAATTTGCTGAATTTTGTTCTTTAAATGGTATTACACATTAAACAACTGCTCCATATACTCCTCAACAAAATGGAGTAGCAGAAAGAAAGAATAGAACATTGAAAAACATGATTAATTCAATGTTAATTACTTTTGGAGCACTACATACTCTGTAGGGAGAAGCATGTCTTGTATCAAATTCAATACTTAATTGAATTCCTCATAAAAAGAGTGATAAATCACCCTATCATCTGTGGAAAGGGAGGATACCCTCTTACAAAAGGATGAAAGTGTGGGGTTGCCTTGTTAAGATAAGAGTACCTTTTCCTAAGAGGACTAAACTTGGACTAAAAACCATAGATTGCATCTATCTTAGCACTACCATGAATAGTGAAACCTATAGGTTGTTGAATTTAGTTTCTAAGCCCATAACTATAACAGAGATATACTTGACCCGATTGTAGCATTGTCCTTTTGGGTTGCCTTCACCAGTGCAGTTTGATAAGATGGACTTTTGAAAATAAGGCTATTATGACTTATTAATATATTTTAAGTATAAATATATTAATTGAGAAATCATATTATTATTTAATTAGTATTGATCAAGAATTAATTTGGAACTAATTTAGTGATCAAAAGGGACTAATTAAATATACGGGGACTATTTAAGGAAATCAATGATTCTTATAGTGTGGGTCATTGATCCATGGTTATTTAGGATGGGCTAAACCAATGTGACATTTCAGGGATAGTCCATGGAGGTTTAACCCATGGAGCCTAAGTAATATGAAAGATCATGGTGCATTAGACTTTGCAAAGATGTAACCCTATCATTTGTTACACTATAAAAGGGATCTCCTAGAGCCAAAATTAGTTACACCTATCATTCTTAGAGTTTGATATTAATTTTGTTCTAACTAGCTTATTCTCTCAAGCCTCCTCTTGCATTTGGTGTTTGTGAAACATTAGAGGCATCAGTTAGCAAATCAAGAGGTTTAAAAGATATAACAAGTATGATAAGTGACTATAATTGTAAATGCCAAATCTCTACATAATCAGTGATCAAATTTCTATAAATCAACATAAACATAGAAATCTAAAATGGCATCACAAACATTACTATCAATGAAAATCTAAAATGACATCCTAGGATGATGACCGATTGACCAACATACCTATGTATCAAACATTATTTCATTCATTCTTACATCTCTCTTTCATCTTAAGGAGGTTATACCAGTAAACAGTAAACATTGAATATATGTAACAATGCTAGAACCTGATAAGGATAATTGCTTCAAAGAAACCTTGCAAGCTAATATTCAAAGCCAATTCATTTTTATCAATATCTCTTCTACTTATAACAGAGACCAAAAAGGAGAAAGAAATACATGTTGATTTACTATCTTTCAAAGCATCTTGGTAAGAGTTGTGAAATGATGAAAAGTGAAAAATCAATGGAGATGATAAAGAGATGCAAAAAATACTCGAATTTCAGGGGAAACAACTATGATCCAAAAATCAACTCAAATCAGGACCTAAAGTTGTCAAGGGCGAAGAAGCACGACTTGAAGAAGATAAAGTTGTTTCAAAAATACTCAAATTTCATGGGAAACAAATCTTATGTTCGATTTTTAATCATTAAAATCGAATTATAGAACAAGAGAAAACTAAAACTTGACCTAAAGAAGATGTCGAGGGTGAAGCACCATGACCCGGATGCAAAGGCGACATAAGCAATGCAGTCGGAGGCGATGGTAAATCCGGTGATGGCGGAGGCGTTGTAGATCTAATGGAAGTATACAGATGATGTTTGAGGGTTGTAATCGTGCGATTTGGAGATGTAGGGGAAGGAGGGGTCGACGGTTGTGAAAGAAAGAGAAGAGGAAAAAGGGGTGATGTACTAGGGAAAAAAAAAGGAACACGTTTTCTTTTTTCTAATTTAGACATATCCCATGACCTACAAATTTAAGAGGCATTTTAAAACTTAAGAGCCATAAATACAGATGTTACCAAACAGTCTGGATCTTAAAAATTAAGAGACTGCCTCTTAATTTTCCAATTAAGAGGCTACCAAACAAGGCCTAACTATATCATAGATAAATTATTAGATAATTTTTGTTAGTGAAAATGTTGATTTAAATGCCTGTAATGAATTCCATAACTTGTCCTCAAGTTATGGAAAATGAAAAGTCTCATCTTTAAAAATGCATTAAACTCATAAGTTTTGGAAACCAAAAGTTTTCAAGAGTTTTAAAACATGCCCTCAAGTTTTGGAATTTGTAAAGTCACATTTAAGAATACTTTAATTCCAAACCTTAGAATTTTAAAAGCTTAAAATTAAACTCTTATACTATTATAAAATTAAAAGTTTAATAATTATATATGTGTATAAGACAAGTTAGTCTTACCATTAGTAGGTCTCATTTGTGGAGCCGATCTATAAGGGGGTATAAGGTTACTGCCTATAAAATGGTGGTTTAATGGGTGTCCACTCTCACCAACCGATTCCTTGACTGGTGGAGGGTCGTTAGTCGAACGGGTAGGATAGGATAATAATTCTCGTTAAAAGTATAATGATAATTATAAAGTAACTAAACTTATATTAAATTCTCAATCTTAGTTACTTTAGAAAAAATGTGAAATTGATGCTAATCCATGAAATTGAACTTTGCACCTTGCCAAGTCGTTAGTGGAGCGTGTGTGGTTAACCGGCACACTAACATTGACAAGTAAGGGTGGAAAAGGGTGGCTTGATGTTTATCATAAAGCGATGGAGCGTGTGTGGTTAACTGGCACATTTATTAGGTGATATATAACATCAAGAGTACCAAGCACATTTTCATGGTTATTCACACCTTGTTTGTGATCCTCGGCATCTCAGTCACAAATTTGAATGGTGTAATCGAGATTTAAACATGCCATTGAAAAGTCAATGAATATCAAAAGAATCTAGGAATTTCAATCCAATTAAAACTTAATAATTAATTTCGTTTTTCATCGTGGAAATTGGTAGATTATCATTTACCTACCTTCAAATATTTTTCAATTGGATTATGGCATCCCTCTTCCAAATTGTAAAATATTGTGTTAGAGTCTATCATTAATATTTCATTTGGGTGTTATATTAAGGATTATTATCTAATCTAAACTTTTTCTTTCTTTTTCAGATGTCTTCCAACACTACTTCTGGCTCAAACTCTACTGGCTCCTTCTTCCTCATGAACCTGTGTAGGAGAGTCATCTTTGATGGTTCCAACTTTTATGATTGGATTAAGGACATCAGGATAGTTAATCGTTACGAGGATAAATAATATGTCCTTGATAAGGAGCTTAAG